AACATGTTAGTTTCTCACTTCGCAGGAATAGTTAATAGTTATTAAGAGTAATAAAAGCTAAAAGAACAAATAATTAGTTGAAGAAAAGCAGGAAAGAAATTTATCCACTAAGTGATGGTATGGTATCTAAATTAAACTAATTCTTTAACAAGCCAACTAACCAAGCTATATGCTAATAATTAATAATAAAATCTATTTACCATGTATGCCAATGACAATAATATCTTTCTTTTTTTGGTAAAATCACAGCCTTCAAATATTATTGCTGTAAAGGTCATAACACCTAGTCCTAACAAACAGTATTAACTTAACTCCTAACATGTCGTATCTCAAAGCGAGAGGTACAATTATTAGTAAGAGACATGTGAAAAATAATGACCAAAGATATAATACAAGAATAGCATCTTACATTCAATCCAAAGAAGTAGAGTCCAAGCATGTTGAAAACTAAATGCCAGGTATCTACATGACTGAATGCATTGGTAATTAAAGTGTGCAAACGTCCACTCTTAAAATTGTCCAAAGAAACCTGTTCACAGCAAATAATTAAATTAGCAGTCTGATGTCAAATCCATACAGACAATAACATTAAGGGTTGAAACAGCACATTTCTCAATTTCATCATTAAACAGCTGGTAAAGTGCCACACCAGAAATCATTAGTACTTTGATGTTTGATGATATCTGTTGAAATGGTGGAGGTTTAAGGTATAGAGGGAGGGAGAAAGATAAAGGAGAATGAAACACTTATTGATATCAATGGAAATGTATTTCAACGTGCTGGTGTGTTTTATATTTTGTAAAACCTAAAGCACTAACCTTTATTTATAGTTTATATTAATCAAAGCCCTAATTAATTAGAGAAACAAGTTATGAAAAGATGAAATATGATAACCAATCCTAAGAGCAAATAAGGAAACTAATCCTACCAAGAGGATAATCTAAGGCATTCTATGATAAGATATTTTCATATACCCTAACAAAATCCATACTAATCTATATACATCAGGCATGCATTTACTTCAACCATCTCATAGGTGGGATTGTTAGTCCCACAACAGAGGTGGGATTGCCATACAAAGCAAAGGTCAGACAATAAATATCTACAAGTGTGGCATCATCAAGTTGAGCAAAATTTATAAATCAAGAAACTCACAGTAAAGTTTTTTATCATAAACTTCTCATCTGCTATCCCCCACAATAAAAAAATAGCACCATTAGCTATAATCAAGCCCAAAACCATGTCATTAGGCGTTAGCCTGTGGAGCCATGATCTCCTGCAAACAGAATAAAATACATTATTGAAATTACCATATCATGTGTAAACTTGTAAACAGATTAAACAAGAATACTGAAATTTAGAAACCCTGACCTTTCTACACAGTACTATTAGTGGAAATCTTTTTATTTATGTGGCCCTAATGAAGGAGAAAGTGACCAGAAATTTTGAACTTTCACCAACATCAGGCATAAACAAGTTGCCAAAGAAACAACAAAATTTAGAGCATAATTGTCTGCCATTCCATTTGTTTGATTTACAGGCACAAAGGCTGGAAGGAGACTGCAGTACATTACAAGTCCACTAATGACAAATTGCGCACAACCATACAAAGGATTGAAAATAGCTATGAAATGTAAACCATCGAGGATTCCACATACCAAGAATTCAAAGAATAAGAAAGATAGGCTACAATACAATGAATAAAAGGTTTGAATATAGTACATTAAAACAGAGATATAAGACTTGAAACTGTCAAATTTCGCACTCAGAAAGTATTGGCCTTCGTGCTGCACATTATATGCTAAAAATGACATGTTCTCTCAATAGGAGTTTCATCTGCTCTTCCATTTTTTCCCTCCTTCCAATTAGCAAGTAATTAGTTACAACTTAATTAAAACTTCTAATATTCAAATAAATAAGTGAAGTTTGAAAAATTGAATTTCCAATTTATAGAAATTAAAGAGTTAATTACTGAATTGTCTCAGGTCTGAATATTGGCAATCACTAATTTACATTAAAAAAAAAAAATTTCCATAATGGGAGATGAACTGAGATTTCCACACATAACCATGTAATATTTGGTAGTATTAGCATAATAAATACATAAATTTGAATTTTCATGTGGAAAAGGAAACCAGAACAGTAAAGCTTGCACAAGTGCAGGTAAGTAATGCATTGAAACCTTAATCCTAGAAGCAGTGTGTTGAAACCATAATTTAAAAAATCAATAATTAAGATGATTTAAGCAAGGACATGTTTTATAAACTTTAAATGTGATATCACTTGCATTATCAAGGTGATGTTGATGTAAATATTTTTTATTTTTCAGTGGAGATGGCAGATAGTTGGAAAAACATGGTTATTAAACAAAAGTCAACATGTTAGTTTCTCACTTCTTACATTTATTAGAAACACCAAGTTTTCTCTAATAAGTTGCCAGACAAAGGGTTATTAGTGATTGAACCTTTTTGTATAGGTGTCAAAACTATAAAAGACTTGCTCTGTCTCTTTATAAGGGTAAATCACCTATTTTGTCCCTAACAGTGTTAGGTGTTATCACCTTAATCCCTGAAACAAATGAAATTCAAAAAAATTCCCTGAAATTAAGTGATAATATTAACATATGTTTAGGAATCAAATTGACAATAAGTGGTTTAAGTACTTAGATGAAACGGCAGACAGTTTTAGGGATACATTTGGAATTTCCTTAGTTCAAGGACCTATGTGACAATGCTAAATACTTTCAGGGACCAAAAAAAGTGATATACACAAATTATAATGAGGATAGCTCAAAATAGCCATCGCTAGTAGCTACTTAATTACCACTCCACTAGTAACTTTACAATGAGGAGTGAAACTGAATTCAAACCCTCAAAATGATTCTTAAATATTCTAATTATAGCTATTCCTCTAAGACACTTCCAAATGCAACTATAAACACTTTTGAAACACAAATGTCTACAATCGAACTTTGTCTTGTCTTTTATCAGACCACCAAGAAGGAATGAATAAAGCCACAAAAGCTTTATGCACCATGAAAAGAAGCAGTGCCATAAATCACCAACCTAGGAATTAGTCAAATGAAATCAAAATTCATGACATTACATAATTCTGACTCTCTTTACATAAACTTCTCTATATACATGGATAAGAAAATAAAGTACAATTGGCGTTTTCAGTTGAGCCAAAAAAATACACTGAAAACGTCAGGAGTATTGACGTGACGTTTTCAGTGTATTTTTTTGGCTCAACTCAAAACGTCACTATATCATCTGATAAGAACACTTATGGTGATGCAGTGGAAGAAACCAATTCATCAGAGTTAGACTACGAGTTTATATGTTTTTTCCTTTCTAGCCAAAGACTTGACCTCTATAAATCAATTGATTTTCGATGTGAAGATATGCTATTAGGTATATCCTGAAATGGAAACACTCAATTTGTATATGAATTATATACATTTTATTGAACATTATTCTGTTTGTGTTTGCATGGGCACTGCACAGACCCATT